AAAAAATGAACTCTCTACGTCCTCTTATGTGAAGGGCTCTTGGCTGGAGGTGGAGATTCAGATTCGAGGTTCCATTCTGTCACTTACTGGATGTGACATTGTGCAAGTCTCTGGATAGGGCTGAGCTTCGATTTCCTTCCTGGTAGAGTGAGGTCAACGACCCCAGCCTCAAGGGTTGTTGTAAGGCTAATGGGAACGTTCTTTATAAAGTGAAAAACACATGCACGTTAAAGGTGCTTCAGAAGCATGTCTCCCCGTCTCCCTGTGTGATACCGCCCTTTACCAAAGTGGAGTCCAAACAGCCTTCCCTAAATTTGTCTTTTTCCAGATGCAGTTAGACACATATGAGAACACTTTGCTTCATAAAGATGCAAGTTTGCAGAAGGTGGGTACCGTCTCTTCCCATGAAAGCCTGTGGGATTCACTAGCTCTCTCCAAATCATAAGGGAAGGAGATGGTCATTTGTGTAACTTCACCCCTTTTAAAACATCTGATTCTAATATTCTGTCACGAGACCTTATTTATAAGAGCAAAAATGTTCTGAATGAAGAATACTGACTTCTCCATCTGGAGTAAGTTTTAATATATCCTCCTTAAATTCTAGTGGTGTTTATTCCTTTATTCAATACGTGTTAGTGTGCCAGTTTACCAGTCACTGGCTAGACAGTGTGATGCCATTTTAAATCGTAACAACACAAACAAGTGGGCAGCCATTCATTTTTAGGGAAGAAGAATATATCCCAGATTATTTTCTACTTAGTTTGATGGATTGATTCGATAGATAGATATTATTCTATTTATCCTCGTGTCCTGTGATCATAGCCTATCTGGAAATAAAGTTTTCTGGCTACAGAGATGCTGGTTTTGGTGGCTTTAAGAGATCCAGGAAGGACGCAGCCTAAGTTAATAAACTTCCACATTCCAAGACAGGAAAGTGAAGAAAGAGCAGTATTTCTCTTCTTTTCCCTTCCCTGCAAGTTATGAAGTTTCAAAGGAGTCATTCACGGCTTGTGGACATTGATGGGGATACTGACTATTGTACCAGCATTCTCTCCTTATGGTGTGTGTTCTCATCCTCCATGTAGTGACATTGTGGTAATGGTGGCTGCTCAGTTCCTCCGTCACTCTGGTCTCTCTGCCACTCTGCACTCCCGCCCAGCATTCCTCGGGCACTTCTCATGTGCCAGACACCATGCTAGACGTGGGATAAGCTGGCCTCACTAGGTGTGGTCAGACACTGACCACATTCTTTGGTCTTGCAGTATAAAACTATGATTTTAACAGGGATGTGGTTTGAACTGGATAAAATTGGATGCTTTAATAATTGATTAGACATTTGCAGGTTAAGTCTGATTTTTTCTTAAATGTATCATCATAATAAATATAATTTTGACTTGAATTTAAGAATTAGAGGGGGAGGGTATAGCTCAAGTGGTAGAGTGCATGCTTAGCATGCCCGAGGTCCTGGGTTCCATCCCCAGTACTGCCCTTAAAAGAAATAGTTAAATAAATAAACCTTATTACCTCCCTGCCAAAAAAACCTAAAAAAATAAAGAGAATTACCTTTCAGGGTGTGATTCCGTTGGACCAAGCAAACACAGAACATAATACCACCAGTCAGATATAGCTGCCTTGCTGACCCACACTTTTTGTATAATTTTAATCACAAACACAGACTAGTTCAATTTTCAAATAATGAGATCGGTAGACGGTCTCATCTTTGTGCGTTTACAATTCTGTGGCTCAGACTGATGTCTAGTATATATGATTTGGTGAACTCATGTATTTATTTGTTATTAATTCTCTCTCCCACTTTTCAGAAGGATTTGAGTATAGAAGAACTTAAGTCAACCATCATAGAACACGGAAGCATTATTGAGGTATACCATAGTAATCTCACAGCTCGCAGGGTGGGGTTATTAAACGTAAATGTGAATGTCCCCCTGGAGTAGCACGTGCAGCCTAATGTTGTCTGTGGTTTCAGGGCTTACGAGGCGATAAAAACAGACTGGCTCATGAGTTACAGTGCTTGCAACAGGAGCTCATCATGTAAGTACAGAGCATCCCCTTGCCAGCCTTCTCTCGTGTGCCCCCGCTCTGCATTACTTAATGGAGCTGTAGGCAGTTCTTTGAATGTGCTGCATTCTTTTCTTCTGTAACTTTGTAGGTTTTTTTCTCTGCTTTTCTCCTAAAAGAATAAATTCCTTCACGAGATTTTGATCCCCCTCCCTCACTTTTCTTATACCTTGAGATTAATCCTTCTGAGTGCATGCAAGGCATGTTGTTCTTACCTCTTTCCTAACACACTTTCTTAACAATCGTTGGTTTCTGATGATGTATAGTATGCTAGTCCAGGAATTCCCAGGAGCCACTCAGGTAACGAAGATGAGAAAAGTCAGTGGGGTCAGTACATACACTTACATTAGGGGAATGACAGTGAGGAAAGCACATTATTCAGATGAAAGGGGAGGTGGGGGGCTATTCTGCTTCTTTCCAGATAATTGCTAACATCAAATGACCACATATTCTGATTTTTTGAGGAAAGCCAGAAATCTAGATTTTCAGTGAAAAGTTTAAAAATTCAACTATCGGCTCTAATTCTTAAAAAAAAAAAGTAGCTTGTTTGCAACCACCTCGAGTCACTAGTCCATGCAGCCCCCAGAGGGAGGGCAGAGGCTATCTCTTATTCCCCTCTGTTCTCCTAAGTATCTTTCTCAGTCCTTGGCACACGTGGGTGCTTACTGACTGTTTGGTGATAAACTCTATTCTGGTGACTTAAAACATAATGTTGGAGACATACCTAACCACACTGGACTACTGGTTTGTATTTATTTATTTATTTATGTATTTATGTATTTATTTATTTATTTATTTATTTATTTCAAGAAATGGAATCCAGTTGACCGTTAATGGCGAGCGTAAGAATATCAACTCTGAAGGAGAGAAATCTTTACATTGTGAACTCATTCTTGCTCAGTCTGCAGAGGTCGGTAATTATCATCAAACGGAAGGCTTTATAAAAAAAATCGCCACATGCAATACTTTACTGTTAAGTGAAGGTCCATAGCTTGCTGGAAAGTTCCCGTGACATTTTGAGGGAATCTGTTGATTAGTTTTTAGAAACGAAGTGTGAAGTCTCTTAGCCTGGAAGAATGGATGCTTTTCAAGTTATGGCTAAAACCTCTAGTGAGGCTCGAGCATGGGATTGTGGAAGTTCAGTGAATCTGGATTTAGAAGTCTTTATATTCTTGATATTTTTCAGGACAAACTGCCTGCACTGATTCCCCAGCCTGGGGTCTGAAAGGCAGCAAGTAGAGATCCATGAACCATTTGCAGTATTTCCCCACATCCCCAAAGTAAATGTATCTGCCAAAAGTAAAGATGCTCAGAAAACAGCATGAAATGTCTTTGCTTTAGGATATAATTGTACCAACCCACACTAATGACACTGATCATTTCATTCTGCACATGAATGAGCATTTTTATATGTTTTTGGCTAATTTCAAAATGGCAACAAGAATTATTGCCTTAAACTCTCCAGTTTGTTATGTAGACCCAATTCTTTATGACATGGTGGAAGCAGTCAAAAGCCTTCTTGGGGGCGAAATGTTGGGACCCGCCTTCCTATTGTATTTTCACTCCTTGGTACTTTCCAGTTTTGTGCTTGTTATGTTAGGAAATGTTTTATTAGCAAATTGCTTTCTTTCATCACTTTGATGGTCTTTCCATGTTGGGTAGATGATGGATATGTCAGACTGTCCTCCTGTGGACAGCCATGGTATGACCTTGAAAGGAGAGAATGTCCTTGGGGCAAATGCTGTTTGAATGTCTCCTGCCAAGGACACAGGGCAGCATATGCTGCCTTCACCTACGGCTGTCTCAGGCAGCCTTGAACATTCTGCTGAAGGGCTGTGCTTTCCCCACATTCTGTTTCAAATACTCATCATTTTTACTGTGTTTTTGAAACCAAGCCAAACTGCCAGACTGAATGAAATGGCGGCAAATCTGCAGTGACAATGTGTTTTTATCCTCAGTCCTCTGAGACAGTAGCAACGCCAAAATGCCAGCCTGTGAACTTGTATAGTTCTGAACAGGGGTTAAAGAGCTGGCAAGTTCTGGCTGTGAGGTTTGCCCCACTAGTGAAATGAGAAGTTTTTTGCCTTCTAATTGGAACCTGGAATGAACTCTATGACCTTTGTCCAACAGAGAGCAAGAAGAAAGTTAAATGTGTTGTTGTCATATATTGAAAATGTGACAGGAGACAAAGACTTTGAAAGAAGTATGAGAAAAAGGCTTTGTGAAACATCATCTGAGAGTTATTCTGTGAATAGAAGAGACACAAGAGAAACCAGTCTATTTTCAGTGGGATTTACCGAGCACCCCCCAACTCTGTGTGTGTGTGAATTTCTTTCCCTTCCCCTCTTTTCGTAAGATTAGAGCCAAAGCAGTTTATATCACCCGCATGTAAATGTTATCTACTGGACACATAAGATTCCTTAAGAATGAATAACTATTAAGTTGAAGCCATCCAAGAGAGAAAATGGAAACAGTTTTGGGGGCAAGGTAGGGAGGATTTCATAAGACTATTTAGAACTATTTGATGGGGATAATTACATTGACCCATGGGCATCATTTTCACAAAATAAAAATAATGCATGTTCTTTATTAGGATGACAGAGTTGTGGACATTTTGGTAATTGTTTCAGAACAATGAAACTGAGTGGCAGTGCAATTTAATCAGCTTGTCATCTCTGGACGTGACGATGGACCAAGAAATGCCACTGTTACTGGGAGAACTTGAGCAGCAGGGGGTGGAGTTCACAGCTACGCTTCAGAAGCTGGTATTGTATAACACTGGTGTACCATGTGGTTTCACTGGGTGGGTGGGAACTTCTGCAGCTAACTGACCTACAGCCTGTTTGCTGAGCACAGGCAGATCTGTGTTGAGACCCAGATTCATCTACTATGAAATGAGAAGACTTTTCTCAAACCTTCCTGACGTGGATTTTCTATTCTAGGTCAATCAGGACTAAAAGGTTGACTGTTAGGGATGGATGGCCTGAGCTGATTTTTCCTACAGATTAATCTTTAGTATCAAAGGGCTGAAGACATGGTATCTATTGAACTGTTTCCTTTCTGCTAATGGCTAGTACCTCTTTCTCTATTTTGATTTTTGATGGAAACTCTAGATGGTCAGAGAGAGCAGAGAACAACATTTTCATGTTGGTATTTCTAGTCCCTTTCACAGTACCCAGCATGTAGTAGGTAACATTTAGTTTGATGAATGACAAATATCCATGAAAATACTTGTTTCCTCCTGTTTGAGATGGAAATGAAAATGGGTAAGTTTTGTTCTGGAAAACAATTCTAGCTGTATGTATTCAGCATGTACAGAGCACCTGATAAGAGTTAGCACCTGTCTACTCATGGCAACATCCTGGGATAAAGGAAGGTCACTGGGTGGCATTAGGTGACAAGGAACTCTCTCTGGTGGCGTCTGGAATTAACCATATAGAACTTTGTGTAAATTACTTCTTCTTATATAATAACACATGCCTTTTGCCTGAATTCCTGGTTGAAAATGTGGAACTCTTTTTCAGCATGAAGATGTTTCTGAAGTTGAAGCACTCATTGGAAGTTCTCTACAGTGGGTAACTGATCCAGAAATTACTCTGAAAGAAAAGTGGGAGAACAAGCTTACTGTGAGTGTTCTATATTTTGAGAATTTCCTGCTATTTCTTCTACTTTCTCAACCCAGGTAATACTTATTATACACAGGAGCACTTCTAAGTCTTTATTGCAGTGCTCTGATGTCTCAGTCTGATTATGTGTGTAGAGTATGTCCGGGAATGTGTATGGGTGAGAGTAAGAGGGTGATGATTAGATAAGAGTGTGTGAGTGTGAGGATATGTGTTGGAGAGACAAAGAATAAATAAGATGATTTAATTCAAGTGTATTTTATTTGGACCCTCGTGGGAACTGTCTAGTCTAACCTTGGATATTTTTTAGTCTAGCAAAATTCTCTAACTTTGATAGAATTGTTATTGTGCCAAAGAATCTTATTCCTGGGACTCTGACAATTTTATTATAACAGAAAGTAGCAGAACATTGGAAAAATGGGAATTTTTTAGGTAACTATTCAGTTTTGTTAGAAAGGAAGTGAATTAAAAGAAATCTCTAATTTATCCATCACTTAATGATCTCTGCTTCTTGACTGCCAGATGACTTCCTAACATCTGTCAGCCCCCTAAGTTAAGCTAAAGCAAGAAGTAAACTCTGAAAACTCTGGAATATTAATTTCCATCCTTTTGCCAAACTAACCTTTTTTAAAAGTTGCCTTTGGATATGCTAGTGAACAGATACTGATTTTACTGCATTTCCTAGTCCTATTCTGTTCTAAAGCAATCGTGATTATTGATAAAATGATCACTTATCGTAAGAAAAAGAAAACAAAGCTCAATTTTAGGCACACTGTGGGTACCCAATATATAGTTGTTAAATTGAGATAATCAATCCACAGGATAATCAATCTTTAGGCAACCGAGAATCTGTTCAATTAGAAGTTTAGGGTCCAATAACAGTGAACTCTATTGAGATGGGAATGGCCACAGCATGTTACACTGCCTGCTATATCTTTATATTTAACGTTGGAATAGTGGAGTTTGTTCTGTGACTTTTCTTATAGGAATTCAAATCTATCATGGAAGAGAAACTAAATCTTTGCATATTAATGCTGAGCAGCTTGAGAAACCACAAAGAATCACTTGATAAAGAGTTTGTCAAACTGATAGAGATTTTGAAGCAATTCAGGCTGGAATACTTTTATTTCAGAAAAGAATTTCTTTCCAGGTGATGATCATTTATATGTAAGAAATCCATGCTTTATATACGTAACATGTTTGTGATTGTGCCATGGCATTCAGTTTATTTTTTTCTAGTTGTATGCGTTGATTTCAGATGACACTTCTTCAGGAAGACGTTTTGTCTGACAATTTTGAATTGTGAAATGGCATGAAATTGACTTAAATATCCAAAATTGCAAGTAGTAAATTTAAAAACCTATGGAAAGCCATGTAAAGAGTTTTTTCCCCTAGAGAAGGAGTTTGGAATCACAGAATATAGAATTCTTTTAACCAGAATGTCCCTTAGAGATTGTTTAGTAAAACCTCAGAATTTTACAGAGGACTGCAACAAAAGGATGTAAAGTGAATTGATGAAGACCTGAGAGTTATTAATGGACACATCTATGAATAGCTCTCTTACTGGAAGGACTTGGTGCTGGGGCTGCTAACTCCTACCCTACTGGGCTTTGTGTTCCACCTTAGTATACAATTTCAAGTAAAAGGAGTCATAGAGAATAGGAGACTCTAAATGTAAAATAATTTGCAATCTTATCCTTCCTCTCACCTTGATTCTCATGTTTTTTTGGGGGGGTGGGGGGCACTCTTGAAATTTGTACACTGTAGACCACATACTGAACAGGCACAGAGATGATATCTTTTGTTAACCACTGTTTCTATAGCTGCTAATACGGTACTGAGCATCCCCTTAAGAAATGCTTCTTGAATGAATGAATGAGTGAACATCAGTGTATTTTGAATTTGAATAAAGTAAAAGGAAAAGATGTACTTAGAGGCCAAGGTTGCTTAAAGAAAATAGCAAGAAGGAACTGTTTTTATTCCCCCCAAATAAGGGAACTAGATATCAGAGAGAGGTTAATGCCAGAAGGAACTATCAAGAAGATGATCTGTTTTCCCTAAGGGGCCAGGAGCCAGACTTCCCCGTAGTGGTAAAGATGTGGTTTAAGTAGATACGCAGCTTCCTTACACAGATAACATCTTCACAAAAGGGAACATGGAAATTCTTCTATTCAGCCACAAAGAACTATTAGGAGAGAAGCCTGCACTGGAGTCATCTCAGAGTAGGTGAATCTTCTGTGTTATCCTATTAGACACACGAACGGCCCAGCTGAATAACAGTAGGTGTGATTTGTCGAGAGCTCACTGTGTTCCGTATGACATGAATTTATCTCTAGAGAGGTGTAGTAACTTGCCCAAGGTCATGCAGGTGGGATCAGGTACCAGCTTGGATCAGACTTAGGTATGTTCTACTTCAAAACCTATGTTCTTTTCAAGTGTTAATCCCCTACCATCTCCTCATTAAAATCTAATATAGTATTTATTAATAATAATCCTAGGAACCTAGCACTGGGTAAAATAATACTCATCAGTGTAAGGATGGCTTAGCTCCTGCCTTCTAAACATAATTTGAAAGAGATGAAACCATGTAGAGGCTACACACAAAGTGATTTGGCTTTGGGTCTTAACTATGAGTAAGAAAATGAGTGGAGTATTTTCTGGGGATGAGAGAGGTTTCTATGTTTAAATGAAGTAGGAAATATTTATTAAAGGGAAACTTTCAGGAGTTAGCTGTTTGCTGAGGAGGAGAAAACTTCCATTTTGGTGCAGGATAAAGAGATTCGGTGCTGAGGAATGGAAAGAATTGAGTGAGTCAATGAGAGGCAATAAAAGAAAAACAGTGTTCTTGGAGGACTTGGTGAGAAAAGCATGTCTTCATTTGTACATGGTTTTGTGCAACCCAGTGCCGGTTCTTTGCCAGCTTTCTTTTCTTTCCTAAATGCTAGGGAATTCTAGAAAATAGAACAGAAATTTCTACCTCCATCAGACTAACATCTATTAAAGGACACAGATAATGTACAAACATATTATATAATATAATTCCAGGCAGTAGTAAGTGATATGAAGAATCTTAAAGCAGGATAAGAAGACTGAGAATGACCAGGGGCGGAAGGACTTAATTTTAGAAAGAATGGTCTGGACATGCCTGTCTGAGGAATGGTAAACTGAGTAGATAGCTAAATGGAGTGAGAGAGCGAGCTATGTGATGATCTGGGGAGTGTTCTAGGCAGAGGAGATAGCTAATGCAAAGGCCCTGGGGTTGTAATGAGCTTGGGATGTTTGAGCAGCAGCAAGAGGCCAGCATGGCTGGGGTGGAGTGAGTGCTGGGCAGTGGTAGGAGATGAGGTCGGACAGATAGGCAGGGGTCAGGTCCAGAGCCTTGCAGTTCATGTTTAGGAATTGGGATTTTATTCTAAGTGGATCAGAAGCTATTGGAAGATTATAAGACGAGAAGTAATATGACTTGTGTTTTGAAAAATCATCCTGGCTTCCAGGGAGAGAATTGTCTATATAGTGAAAGCAGTGAGAAGAGGTTTTTTTCAATTACAGATCACCAGTTAGAGATCCTGAAATCAATTTACTGGATTATGACCCATTTTTACAAATAAAATATAAAATATCAGAATACAACGCACATAATAAGAGTAAGTAACATTTCATAAAGCTTTTGTTTCAGCTACATGTGTGTATGTGTGTGTGTGTGTATTTTGTTGAAATATAAAATATTTACTGGGTTATGATTTTAAAAAGCCACTGAGTTAGGTGCTATTTCAGTAGTCTAGGTGAGGGGTGTAATGTGAGCTAGGGAGATAGTTGTGAAGGTGATAAGAAGTGGTTGGATTCTAACTATATTTTAAAGCTAGATCAGATCTGACATACTAGTGAGTTAGATGTGAGAATACAAGAAAGAGAGAAAGATCATCTCTGTAGATGACATGATCTTATATATAGAAAACCCTAAAGACTCCACAAAAAAAAGAACTAATAAACAAATTCAGTAAAGCTGCAACATACAAAATCAAGACAAAAAAATCAGTTACATTTCTATGCATTAACAATAAGCCATCTGGGCAGCAAGGGGAAAACAAAGAGTGAGTTACAAGGGAGCCCCCATAAGGCTCTCAGCTGACTTCTCTACACAAACACAAACACTACAGGCCAGAAGGGAGTGGCAAGATATAGTCAAAGTCCTGAATGGA